GTTTTCTGAAGACTCCCTCTAGAGAAATTCATAAATAATAAAACAAACTACAGTGCTTTTGCACTGACAGATAAACAGTGTGCCTTCTTTCTGCAGTCATCCTTATAGCTGACACTGTGCATGTGAATTCTAACCCACTGACAAAATATGTAATGTGGGTCAATGACGTGATCCTCGTTTTTTTTCATCCTATCTATGAATTTATTTAAACATACTTTAAAACATACATGTTTGGGGGGATGTAAAGTGAAAAATCAGGAATAACTGTCAAAGAAAAAATATATTGTATTCTTGGATTTTGCATAATCATTTATTATTATTGTTATTTCTTATATAAAATAAATACAAATATATATTTTAACAAAATGACTTTACAGCTTATTAATCTTTGAAAAACAATTGTCCATCAAATAAAAATGCTGTAACCCACAAACAATAATGAATGAATACATACATTCATACATAGTGGGTCAAATACATTAAGATGTCCACAGCAAAAGAAATTTACAAAAGTGATTTTATGTCCATAGAAAGCACATTAAATGCAAGTAAAGTGTCTACATTTAAGGTTTCAAATAAGTTTTTGAAGAGTAAAATGTCCAAATTTGGTTGAAATAATGTTCCATTGTCATTCAGTGTAACACTTATAGTTATGTAAAAATTCAAACAACAGCTTATTCTGACCTGTACATATTAAAATATATAAAAGAATGAGTGAGCATATTAAATTTTATTGGGTTTTAAATGAGTAAAAAAGTATTACTGACAAATGGGCAAGACCTAGGATAGTGGCACATTTGAAAATGTAAAAATAACAACTAATTAGTATTTGGGGTGAAGGTAATTCGTTTTTTTAATACGTCATAAATTGGTTTTTGTTGTAAATATGCCTGACAAGATTGTTACACTGAACGACATTTTAGTGGGTGTCTTCTGTAACCAATTTAAAGCAGTATTGTTTTTATGTTTAAACCCTTTTTCGCCTTTGACCCATAAAGAGATTACATCATAGAGGGGACACCTGTCCTGCAGACCCTCCTGACTTTGTGGTAAGATAAGTCTCTTTAAATATTAGAAAATTTGACCTTGTGGCAAGGCAATGCTAATTCTGGTTGTAAAATGTTATGTCATGTTGTGAAAAATAGTAGTAATAAAGATTGTGGTCTAAAAAGTACATTACAAATAACTTAATTCAATAATTTGGCACATGAGTTTTAAACTGAAACTCCAATATACATGTATGAAGAATTGCAGTTTAAATATAGCCCAGTCACTTCATTTAAATATTATTATAATTTTAGATTATTGAACTATTGAACATTGCAATAAACCTACAGAAATAAAAAAGCACCAAGAGAACATCACAGTAGAAAATACAGTATTCATTTCAACTGCTTTGTATTTTATGTTCTCCTGATCTGTATTTATGACCCTGCACTGTTACAGCCCTTTTTTTTCTCTCTAATATTTGGCAAATGAGGATGTAAAGGCAATATTTTAACACACAAAGGAAAACTACAATTGAGAAAAGCCGTTAAGGCTTCAGGCTTCAGGCTTCAGGCTGACATCTCATTTACTGTTTGCCTTCGCAAACAGTAAATTTCCTCTTGTCTCTGGATGCTTACTCTGCCCTTGGACGTTTTTTTTATTTTTTTGCAGTTTTGGGACTCCCGTAGCTTCCGCAGATCATTAAAAAAAAAACTCAATACTTTTATTTTCATATTTGGAATACTTATAAATCTACAAAGATGTTTTTTGAACTGATCTCATCAACAAGTTTGTCCTTTGGTGCATCTTTGAGTCATTTGGGTGCTTTAATAGCGCAAGCAAAAGCAGGCTGTTTATTTGAGAGCTCTGTTTAAAAGACTCCATTACGGAGATGAATATCATTACTATAACAGAGTGAGGGCTGTTTGTCTTAATTGTTTAGTTAATTGACCTTGCAGAGCTGTTCATGAGACCTAAAAGAGGCAAGACTATTTTTATGGCACAACTGAGATGAACAATAAGGTTTGAATGAATCATCTTTTAGCCCATTAGCAATGAAGGTCCATACATCATGAAAGCATTGCATTTGTCACTTTAAAGAACATCTTTGACCATCTGTGCATGTGGCTGTACTGTAGCCCTCATACATCATCATCCATCCGATGCGTGTTTGGTAGGAGGACAATCAGTGGTTTATTCTTGGCTGCCAGCTACATTCTCCAACCTTCTGCCATCTGCTGCTGCCACAACACCACTTGTATCAAATGTAAATATGCCATTCTGAAATCAGATCTATGAGTTACAGGAGCAAAAATAAGGCACACAATGTCCTTTGGGATGTCTCCCTACGCTTCACACCATACATGTCAAGTTTCTGCTTTCCAAGGGGAACATTTGTGTTTTGGGAGCCTACACTTTCTTAATGTAGTTCTTCAGATCTGTTGACACCCTGCCTGTGTAAATACTGGTATGTAAAATAGCCTTGAGCAAGGACGTGAAGGGTAGACAAACAAGTAACAGAAAACCAAATACAGCAGATGATTATTTACAATTATGCCATTGAAGGAACACTGATATTAGTTTTGCAACACTCTATTCGGCCTGTGAACTTTTAAGTGGTGCCTCAAGATGCAAGGAGAAGACATAAAGTTACAACATAAAGTTTTAGTTCTCCTTAGCGTCTAAATAAATGATGACTTTGCACAGTGTTACACAGCTGATGTTGCAATATCATCAGCCGTGGGGGTCTAATTTTATAAAATGATCATAAATGTCTGTGCACCAATGCAACATTTTGACCTCTTGGTTTTCATCAGGACTGAGTGGTTGAAATTTATTTGAATATAATTTTGGAGTAATGATATCAGTGTGAAGTTTCACTCTTTTCAATCTGTGTTGGTTGCATTGTGCCCTATCTAGCTGACATGGATCTGAATTTCATATTCAAGCATCTATGTGACATTCAGGTGAGTATCTTCCCTGTCCTATTTTGCTGCTTCAATTCCTGTCTTCTGTTAAGCTGTAATAACATATTCTTAGTACTTTCATCTCAGAAAAGCGAAGGGTTTTCTTTTTAAAACAGGATTACAGCTTTTCTATGTAAACTAAACAGTGGCAATTGCACTATAATTGTGAAACTCATAAGGCCTCAGCCTCATTATAAATGCTACAGTTACAGAACCGTCCAAGGAATAAAAACATCTATGAATCTCAAAAGACATGGTGCAGTCACCCTTTCAAGAGTATGCAATAATGACAGAATTATAGGTAACCATGGCTACCAAACAGTAATGGGCCACCTGTGGGCTACTGGTTCAGTGAGGAAGCCAGAATGAGCTTAGTTTCAAAACACTGATGAGATTGGATGTCTGGATATAATAGAAATGCTGTTTGTTCACCACTATGTAGGCCTATTTGACTACACTTCTCTTGTATCATGTTACAATTCTGTTATCATGCCCTTAGTCACCAAAAAAAAAAAAACAGGGGAGAAAACTTCGTTTACAGTCAATCCCAAGTAGTTTGAGCAGCTGCCAAATAGGTCTCTCCAATGCCCCAAACCATGTTGAAATAGACTAAAATCCAAAATATGATTTTAGTTCTTCTTCTTTTGCATTTATATTTATTGGACATTGGCAACCCAACTTAAGATGCATTTCCGCCACCTAATGGACTGGAGTGATGTCAATGTTGGTTGCTAAATAAGGACTACAATTGCCGTCTGACTTGTCAAGCACATAAACACGCATCCTTGTGGTAGTTGTAGTACTTCAGTAGAAACTTGTTGCAAACTTATTTTTTCAATAAATACGTCTGTACAATTCACATTTGAAGTAGGCTATGCCGCTAATTTACGTTCCACACAAAAAAAAAAACGAGAAAGGAATAAAAACATCTATGAATCTCAAAAGACATGGTGCAGTCACCCTTTCAAGAGTATGCAATAATGACAGAATTATAGGTAACCATGGCTACCAAACAGTAATGGGCCACCTGTGGGCTACTGGTTCAGTGAGGAAGCCAGAATGAGCTTAGTTTCAAAACACTGATGAGATTGGATGTCTGGATATAATAGAAATGCTGTTTGTTCACCACTATGTAGGCCTATTTGACTACACTTCTCTTGTATCATGTTACAATTCTGTTATCATGCCCTTAGTCACCAAAAAAAAAAAAAAACTGGGGAGAAAACTTAGTTTACAGTCAATCCCAAGTAGTTTGAGCAGCTGCCAAATAGGTCTCTCCAATGCCCCAAACCATGTTGAAATAGACTAAAATCCAAAATATGATTTTAGTTCTTCTTCTTTTGCATTTATATTTATTGGACATTGGCAACCCAACTTAAAATGCATTTCCGCCACCTAATGGACTGGAGTGATGTCAATTTTGGTTGCTAAATAAGGACTACAATTGCCGTCTGACTTGTCAAGCACATAAACACGCATCCTTGTGGTAGTTGTAGTACTTCAGTAGAAACTTGTTGCAAACTTATTTTTTCAATAAATACGTCTGTACAATTCACATTTGAAGTAGGCTATGCCGCTAATTTACGTTCCACACAAAAAAAAAAACGAGAAAGTGTCTTTAAGTAGCATCAACCACAAAACTTTATTTTTAATCATAAACCCAAAACCGCTATAAAACTCGAAATAATATAAAAATAAATAAAAGTTGCTGGCTGGAAAATGCTAAATCTCTTCTGATTTCCAGGACTACAAATTAAACAGCTCTATTTAGCGACACCGCTGGCTTTATGAGTAAAATCAGGGTCTTTTCCAACCATCTGTAAATATTCTAATCGTGTAAAAATATCCCTGTTCCACACCACGGCGTCCATAGTTACACATCTGGCTTTATAATTGACCCTGTCTAGCAACTCGAGGTGGTAGGAATTCAGTATCTGACCATTCATTTGCTTCAATGTTCCTTATGATCCACCTTAAATGACTGATCCCACACAAGTCCCTCCCTCTCCGCCGCAGCTCTCCCAGCCCTCAGACTGAGTCTTGATCTTCCCTCTTTCGATTTCCAGCCACGGCAACCAGTGATTTAAACTGTCTTTTTCGTTGCGCGGTGAAAGGTTGCGTTTATCCGCGCAACAAATAGAGCAGTTAACACGTAGAAAACAAGACTGAAAACCAAACCAAACTTGGATCTGTTGCGTTTGCGTTCCGTAACCAAAGCGGAACATTCCTCAATCTCTCTTGTGATTATTTCCTCTTTTCTCTGGACGAGAAAAAGCTGTTGGATTGGTTCGAGCAGACGGGCTTCTTACTTCTCAGCGGCGTGATATTAGAAGTTTATACACGTTTTTAGCCTAAACGCGGAGGTCACATTCTACATGTAGGAAAAGCGACTAATTCCATCCTGCTGGTTGACTGGCACCAATTCTAAAGTTAGTTTCCAGATGCAGAGTAAACAAACACGGGTTGCAAGCGAAGAAAGACATTGCCTACCCGCGCAAGCGTTTACTTAGAGACGTTTTGCGTCTTTCTTCATTGGGAGTTTTGAGGAGAAGGCTTGTTTTTGAGGAGCAGAGCTTGTTTCTCGGTGCACTGAATGAGGAGGAACGTCCCATGTGCGGCTTTCACTCTTTCTGACAACCCTTCAGACCCAAGGTAGGTTTATTTTTCCTGTTCTATTCTACTCATGTCCTTCACTTTGATTTTCTTATCCACAGGTGTGCGCCTGCATGTTCCATCTTGTTCCTCAGAGCCGCGCCGTATTTGCTCACGAGACGTGTTTCTGCAGTGAGCAATTTAATCGTTTACAGATATTACACTAGTTCAACTGTGAAAATAGCTTTTTTTTGGTATCCCAGTAACGTCTCAATTTCATGTGAACGCTACGCTTATCGTTCTTGATTGTATTTATGTGTGTATGTATTAGCGTATTTTAGTGCCATTTCATCATTTCTGTCAGTGCAGTCATATTACGTTGAGGTCTGCACGTTCTCCACTACTGGCTACTAGGGTCTTTTAATGGGCAGAAATAAACTGGTACATTTCACGTGAAGAGAAATGAAGAAGACTGCTGATTGATAAAGAGGTAATCAGTCGATCCCTCTGACGTCACCCCCTTGGGTAAAGTGCACCGCGCCTCTCTCGCGCCTCTCTCGCGCCTCTCTGGGTGTGTCCTCGCGCTATTGCGTCGAAGGGGAAACCCTGCAATTTGTTCCCCGTGAGGAGCTTCGATTCTCTGTCCTGTGAGGAGAACAAAACCTGCCCAGTTGTGTCAGAAAGAGAAGAACACGAGGCACATCGGCTTTCTGGTTTGTGTTATGTTAAAGTACGAATGTTAAATGAAGATTCGTTTGCGATATTGACGGTTTGAAGATCTCCGTCACCGTCTTGTGATCGTTAGCCTCAGCGGCCTGAGGAGACGATAAAAAGGTGACATAAGTCGTGACAAATGGCTTTAAAATACGATATAAGCTCCCCCCCCTCATTACAACAGTTTTTAATATTAAAGAGGTAGTAATTCAGCTAAAAATGAACGTTTAGCAGAACGCCTCAGTTACTATTGACTTCTATTGTATGTTTTCCTATACAATGAGAGTGAATGGGAGGCTGTCATTCTGACAAACACCCTTTGTGTTTCACAGAAGAACATTAGTCAAACAGGTTTTACACAACAACATTGTAAAATTATTTCATTTTTGGATGAGCTATTCGCTATGTACATGGTACTCTCGTGAAGGCCATTTGAGGACTTCAGACCCTCTAAAGGTCAGGTTATGTTTATTGTTTTTAGGTTTAAATTTGTTTCCCTCTGGCAAAAATGTTATCTTGATGTTTTGGAGGGCTGGATAGTCCCGTGAGACAAATCATAGCAGGTTAGTTTGTTTACCATGTCACATTCACAAAGTCTCCTTGTGTGGAAACTGGAAAGCCACCTTATTGTTTTAAGGCCCACAGGGGATGTTCACAAGCTAATCTTTTGCTGGTGTGAGGATGATTTATTTTGTGGAAATTTAGGAGAGATGTTTAGTATGCCCACAAAATAATCAGAAGAGAAAGGCCAGTCCTTATGAAATACGCTGTGATCACATTTAAGCCTATCCCTGCAGATCCACCATAATCCAGGAGAATCCATCCCATGGCTGGAGGATTGTTGTTAACCAAATGAGAGTGATTGAAACTCACTGAGATCACTGGTCATCTGATAGATTAGCAAACAGTACGCTCTTTACGTGTTTAAATGTGGGAGAGCGGTATGCACAAATACTGTTCGTTTATTAGTAAATCTTTTTCTCGAGGACATCAGTAAGCAGATATCACAGCCGAACAACCTCTTGTGTATGCGTTCATGTGTGTGGGTGTGCTTGTGCATGCTTTAAACTTTACATAACCTGTAGGGTGGGGGTGTTTGGAGCTATCAAGAAGTTTTCTTCTCTAGTTATTACTCCAGCCGACTGGTGCAATTTATTGTTGTGCATATCAAGCTGTGTTTACCCTGCAGAGCATCTGTTCCTTCGAATTAGGGGAGAATTGTACTGTTCAGCCTCCCTCCTCAGACATGGGTGATGGTAGTAATGTCAGCCTATACCGTGACTCAGGTCTCAGTGGTGTGACTACTAGCTATAAATGGGGTAGCTATATCTACTAGCTCAGACTGTTGTTAAAAATATGACTAGAGGCACTTAATGAGCAGTGGGGGATTGTTTAGCGTGAAACAGTGTGGGGGATGCACCTGTTGAATTGGGCTAAAATGGAAAATAAGGCCTTCGTTAGTGGAAGTAGAAGATCCTGCATGCTGTCGCATAAAGATAAAATTTCAGGTGAATCTCATCAAAACGTGCTCTGGTATCATTTCATTGAAAAAGCTGGAGAAATAAGTTGCATTTAGAAATTTGTCTAAAGGAAATTAAGCCTAATTTTGGGACCCTCAAAACATTTTGCATTTTGACATTGTCTGATTACAAGTAAAAATTTTTTTTTACTGTACACTTTTTTTCTTTTTTAAATCAGCATACGTTTCTGTATTATGGTAATGAGGATAGCAGGAGGTGCTTTAAAGTCAGATGTTGTGAATGTGATCGTCTTCCATATTGTGATGTATATCCAAATAAAACGGCTTTTTGAACGATAAAAAAATGTATGGCAGGGCTTGGTTTTGTCCATTGGGAATTGATTGGATTGTTGTTTGCTAATTGCTGTGATCTCATGTGAGTGGTAGATTGCTGGAGAGGATAAATTATTGTCCCATTTTTGCAACAGTGTAAACATCATCGAAGTGAATGAAAGTGGGGGGGGGGTGTTTTTTATATTTATTAAAGATTACGAAGTCACGTGAATAAATAATGAAGGAAGGAATTTTCGACCAGAAATGTTCATTCCTCTTGATTATGGGTTAAAGAGCAGGTCATATGGGTTTTCGGAAAATATTTTTTTTGCACGTTTGTAATGTAGCAATCTTTCAATGTAAACAGTCTGCAAAGTTGTTAATCAAAAAAAGTGCATGATGATTAAATATTTTGTCAGGGGTGCACATAAGTTTTTCAGCCTGGTTCTAATATGAGAACCTGGAGATTTGGTTTGGTCCTCATACGGCGGCACATGGTGTGACCCATCAAATATAACTATAAAAAATAAATTAATAATAGTAATACTATTATTGCACTTTATTTAGTAAAAAAAAAATAAATAAAATAAACTAAATAATAAAGTGTGATAATACTATTTTATTTTAAAATAAAAAGGGAGTATTGTATACAAACTAGGGATGCACCGATATGAAAATTTTGGCCGATACCGATAACCGATTATTCTTTATTTTTGAAAGCCGATAACCGATATGTTGGCCGATAAATCTATATCCAAATTGTTATATACTTTTTGAGAGCCTGATTACAAAAAAGGTCTCATCATTAAAAGCCACATCCCAAACACTTCAACATAAGCAGCCTAGTTTGAACGGTGTACGTTTTAAAAATATTTTTACTCTCCCATTACCAAATTTAGTCATAAAAAAGTCTTACAAATAAATAAAATTATGCATAAATAATGCAAACAAGTCACTGGACATCATTACACGTGTAAAGAATCAAAATGAATGCGCCATAGATCAATAAAACGGAATAGCCTCTGCACGGACAATAATTAAATGATTTTAATTACTAAACCATATTGTTGATGAAAATAATAAGAGAACAATACAAGTGGTTGTTGTTATTAATAATATATCAATGATTTTGAAAAAGTAACAAATTAATACCACTGTTTTAAATAGCAGCCGTTGAGCTGCGCGTGCTGAAGCTGAAGAGCTGAATGAACATGGTAAACTGAAGCGTTTTGCTGGCAGCTTATTTAACTCAAGGAAATGCATCCTGAGATTAATATTAATACAACATAAACATAATATTACAACTTATATATGTACAAAATTATGCAGTTATTGCGTGCTATAGTCAGAATGTGTGATCCTGTTGTGGATGCGCTCTTCCCATAACAACGCGCTGAAACATGGCAACTAAACCCAAAGAATTCACAACGTTTTATTATAATAATGTTCTCATTAGAATGTTATATACACGACATTCCCAATCATAGTTATTAATGTTGTGCACTGCTGTTTGGGCTGCGTGTGCTGAGCTAAAGATGATCACTGGTAAACTGAAGCGCTCTTTTAACTTAACCAAACGCATTCTATATGAGATAAATCAGATATACATCAAATAAACACAATATTACAATGTACAATTGCACAAAAGGCTGCAAACGAACAGCGCGCATCTGAAGTGTCTCTGAAGGAAATAATGCATTATTTATCGGCTTTAAGATATCGGCCAAATTTTCTTATCAGGCCGATACCGATAACAGAAAAAATGAGCCGATATGGGCCGATACCGATATGGTGGCCGATATATCGTGCATCCCTAATACAAACACAATTATTTTATAGTAAACTTAAAAATAAAATGCTAAATATTTTTTATTATGTTTATTATTATTTTAATTTGAAGCTTAATTATTTTTTAATTTGAATTATTTGAATTTTTCATTTTCAAACTTAAAATCAGCAAGCTTTTATTTTGGCGGGTTGCCGGCAAGTAAGTATATGCGCTTCCGGGTGTAACGCTGCCGATTGTCACAGTTTTGCGTTGTGCTTTGAAAACGTTAGCCTAGGTTTATGCTTTCAGTTTGAATAGAAATCTTATACAGTACAGTTTGTCGATCTAAAATGGTAATTGTTCATTAACAGCTGTCAACCATGTCAGTACGCAAACGCACGCTCTGAACTAATTTACACAGCGCATTTCTTGTTTTGGTCGTGCATGCGGGCTTGCGGACCATTTATGTGCACCCCTGGATATTGTCTCTCAAAAGAAAGAGTCGACTCTGAACCGCCTTAACGAGCTGTCATATTTTCTAATCTTCTGCCTGATACCTATATACATCACAGGGTAACACATTTGCATTATCCCCGCCTGCCCGCGAAATACGAACACTCTGACCTGCCCACAAACACCTCTGCTAGTTAGTGTGTTTACATCATGACGAGAAGCACTGTGTTTTCAGCCTCACTGGACATTCTAACAGAGTTCCTGCACGTGCACCTCATTTCAATAATAATGAATGCAATAAAACTGCTGTCACATCACGTAAAGTACCACATA